TATAACATTTCAGAAATATCAACAATACTGTAAATCTTGCATATATATACACGAGTTGCGTTCAGAGGGTGCGCACGTTTGATTATTTTTGTTTCCTTGTAATTTAAACTAACTCCATATTTATTTATTGTTCGAGATAATTTGCCAGCGTAGGACAAACTTAAAGCTAGTACCTGAGCCTCCGCTCCCTTAAACCAGCGGTCGAGACAAGAACCCATGTCATAGTATCAAGGTCACAAAGTCAACGTGAACTCATATTAACGCTAAAATTGGCAGAATATCCTTCTTAGATTGAGAAAAATTGAAACTCAACTAACTGGAGATAATATAATAGGGAACTTAGGCAAACCACGGCGACGACGTCAATGAGAACATCGTAACCAAACAAACTTGTCCACTGAGTGTTGCTACCTCCAGGGGCTTGTAATTCCCAAAAAATAACTCTTGCACGCCTTGCGTGCCTATGTTTAAAATATTGGAACCAAATTGCTTGCCACGGCTATCAAACTGCAAAATAGAAAAGACTACAGTGCAACTGCTATTTTCCTTATTTATTCAATTTTCAACAAAAGAAATCAGATCAGTCTTTTCTCACGCAAAGCTAATGATTAGTTGATCAAAATCACTGGAAAAAAAATTGGGRTGCCCGAGCTCGTTAGTGAGCAATAGCCATTTTTCAACTGACAGAACTCAATATCAAGGCAAATCCGCCATGTTTTCAATTTGCGCGTGCACGAGCGCGCGCTAATAACGCAGGGCGTAACCAAATCGACAAAAAACGATGATCGGAAAAGCAATCGATCAATTGATACCAAACGATGCAAGTTAGTTAATTGGTATCGATTGATATCGGCCAATCGAGGACCAATCGATAATCACACAAAAGTAGACACGAATCATCGATTGCCATCGATAATAAAAATTGGGCTTTAAGAGCTTTTCCTGATCAAATAGTTTACTGCACTGTCTCATCAGCTGAATAGTAACGTCGTCCCGAGATTTGACCGACAGTTAACACTCGACCAATTAATAAGGCCCAAGTGTACAGGTGATTGTTGTGCAAATTTATGTCACGATTCCATTGCGTTTTGTAGCGTTCGCCCTACAACCAACTGCGATTTTGATCACTCTGAGAATGTCTTCGAAACGTGGTGAAATGCGTACACGGCTCTTAGAAAAAAAGCTGATGTCGTTTTTGTCGTTAGGTCTAGTGTAAGGTCATAGCTTCTGGCGATTCGAGTCCAAGTCGCTGGATCGCACGGGCGATTTTGAGTAGCATCGCTAGCGTGAAAAGAATGACAAAAATTCATAGCATAAATCATGACGACAGTTGCATGAAAAATCGCCTTTTTATTATCTTGTAAGCGTTTACAGGTTATGCTCTGGATGTTTGAGGATCCAAAGTTCAATTTTATTGTACTTTAATAATATTGGATTGTTGTAACTTTGAAAAGACGCATGTTAACGCTGTGCAACTTTCCGTAAACTTTATTCAGTTAAGCTAATTATCAGTGTTGTATAAAACCTGGTCTTCTTCCGATATCCTAGACTATCATTGTTTTAATCGTTAGAATACATCAAGAGACTGTGCCCTTTAGAAATCGTGACCGACAAATTATCTATCATCAATTAATCGATGGCAATCGACGCCAATTAATCGATTAATATTGATAATCGATGAAAAATCAATGCCAATCGATGACAATCGATAACAATCGGTGACAATCGATAATCACACCAGCCTAGACGATCGATTGCTTATCGATTATCAATAAATCGATTAATTGGCATCGATTGCCATCGATTGGTTACGCCCTGTAATAACGCCATAAATTATGCGCAGTAAGGATGCGCAATGCAAATGTCAGGAATCACTTTAATGTAGGTTTTTTAAGCCTCTTTTTAGCTTGCAAAATAGGCAGTTAACTGAGTGAGAACAGGGAGTGCAAAATAGGCAGTTAACTGAGTGAGAACAGGGAGTGCAAAATAGGCAGTTAACTGAGTGAGAACANCAGCCTAGACGATCGATTGCTTATCGATTATCAATAAATCGATTAATTGGCATCGATTGCCATCGATTGGTTACGCCCTGTAATAACGCCATAAATTATGCGCAGTAAGGATGCGCAATGCAAATGTCAGGAATCACTTTAATGTAGGTTTTTTAAGCCTCTTTTTAGCTTGCAAAATAGGCAGTTAACTGAGTGAGAACAGGGAGTGCAAAATAGGCAGTTAACTGAGTGAGAACAGGGAGTGCAAAATAGGCAGTTAACTGAGTGAGAACAGGGAGTGCAAAATAGGCAGTTAACTGAGTGAGAACAGCGAGTGCAAAAGGGTGACGAAGGTTTTTGTCACTCAATTTTCCGTGCGCTCCGCCCCGATAAACCGCCTGTTCTGTTTTGACTCCTTTAGAAGACTTTCTTACCTTGTCATATAATAATAATAATAATAATAATAATAATAATAATAATAACAAAAATAAAACATCTAATCATGATATCATGGTTACTACAACTAATACTAATACTCCTATCATCATCATAACATTAATTAACATATTCCATGCAAATTGGTATATACAAGGTAAAAGTAAGTAAGAGAAATAAACTATTAAAACCTATTTCAGCAGTGTTTACATAATGGCTCCCTCCTGGGTTTCAACGTCAATACATCCACGTGCTATATTTATATGCGTAATATCTTTTAATGTCTTAACCCTTCTAATCCTAAAGTACCATTTTTAATTCTAAATAATTCGAATCTTTGAGGTCTGAGACCTACATATCATTTTCCTTTTAGACCGGAAGACTTGTTAGCTTCTGGCAAGGAACTAAGTCACCAACAGAAAAATTGAGGCTAGTTCTCTAATCCTCTTTGTTGATTATACGTCTAAAATTTCACCGAATACTGCTTCTTATGTTTGCTGATAGTAATGGAAAAGGGAATCTCTAGATATGTTACTGAAGCCTTGAGGAATTGAATAAAACAGCTAAGTAACTAAAAATTGAAATATCAACGCCGCTTAGGAAATGCTTTTGCCCCGTTTAAAATGAAACCCTCGTAAATCTGAATAATTTTTAATATCCCACCAAAATTCATCTGTGTTCACAGGCTAACCAAAGTCACCTCTTATGAGACTTGTTTTCGTTCTCGGCATGTTCAGATACGCGGAAACAGATAGCTCGTTGATGGCAGGCATCAGCTTCAGTTTGTCATTTTAGTTAGCGGCGTAATTTGAAAGTTCTGTGAAGTGATGAAGAGAATTCATCGTTTTCGTTCTTCCAAAGCCGCATCTTCCAAAGTGTAAAATGAAGTTTTATTTTCATTGTATTTTTATTATTTACCTTATATTATTCTATGTAAACGACTCCATTGTTTTAACGAAAACAACGCGATTTCTTCAAGACTTCTACAGTTGTGCGACCGTTACTTCGGCTTTCCACCCTTAGACAAAAAAGCCCACAAAGTGCTTCAAAGGTGGCGTGTCCTTGCCTTTTATAGGCTCGCTCCGTGTTTAACAATGCCGTTCGAACTGAACTTCAGTTAATAACGTTCTAGATCATGATGATGTGAACAGCAGCAGCAGCACACATTAATGTAACTTGTTTGCTTTTGTTGATATACTCTTTCATAAGAACGTCTAGTACTGAGTTTTCTGTCTGAGGCAGAACGTTCCATGTTTTCAGTTTTTTTGCCATTTGAACCTGAAGTATTCAGTGTTCTTACAACGATTGTTCGTGGTGATATCGTTGCCTTTGTCAGCGCGATCACCTCATTCGGATGTTCGCTTTCAAACTTTGTAGCTGAATGGCCTGTCACGGGCCCCAAATCATTGAACGTGATCGAAACTGAGAAAAAAAAAAAACCCCGAGCCAAAAGAAGTACTCAAGATCAGGCTTCAGTACCGTTTCTTTTGTGTTTCTCATTTCGTTACTTGTCCATTGCACAATATCGTTCGTTTTTTGGTTGATGTTTGTTTTTTTTTTGTTCTTTTATTTATGCTTTTTGCGTAGAGTTTTTGCTGTACTTTAGTATAGCCCCAAAAAGAATCAAGACT